TATTAACATCGGTCCATTTTTTCGGGTAGCCCCCATATAAGGGTACCCCCAATTTTCGGTATTTTGGGGTTCTTAAGTGCGTTTTTCAACCGAATTCTCTGAAATTTGGTACATTGGGTTCTTATTGGGTACCAAATATGTCCACTAAAAATTATAAATATAAGTCCATTTTTTCTGGTAGCTCCCATATAAGGGTACCCCCAAATTTCGGTATTTTGGAGTTCTTGAGGGCGTTTTTCAACCGAATTCGATGAAATTTGGTACATTGGATTCTTATTAGGTACCAAATATCTTCAATAAAAATTAAAAATATAAGTCCATTTTTTCTGGTAGCTCCCATATAAGGGTACCCCAAATTTCGGTATTTTGGGGTTCTTGAGGGCGTTTTTCATCCGAATTCGCAGAAATTTGGTATATTGGGATTTTATTGGGTACCAAATATCACTACTAAAATTTAAATATAAGTCCATTTTTTCTAGTAGCCCCCATATATAGGTACCCCCAAAATTTCGGTATTTTGAGGTTCTTGAGCGCGTTTTTCAACCGAATTCCCTGAAATTTGGTATTTTGTAGCCGTATATGGTAACAAATATCCCTACCAAAAATTATTCATAGTCAACCCCTTTTGCGGGTAGTCCCCATATAACCCCATTTTTTATATTAAAATAATTATCTGATTTTTCCGCGTTTTGGGTTTGGTTCTAACACTCTGATGTAATCATTTCACCTGCGAAGGAGATCGAGATAAAAAACTAGAACATACGGTTCGATAATGAACTATATGTGAACTATAACCCGCATTTAGGCTTAGCCGTAGCCCCTGTGTGGGAGGTACCAGAAGGCATGGCCCGATATTCCCCAAATTCGGACTTGAACTAAGTTTGGAAGAAATAATCAGATGGGATGAAATCAAATTTTTCTGAAACGGATTTGGTCCAAAGAAACATGGGGTCTAGAACCAATATTTCGATGAGGCACATTTTCACCGTGTAAAAGTGTATACACACTAATTAGCCATAAGGCTGAGGGTATAATTTTCTATTACAAAATTATTGTTTACATAATCGGTTTGTAGAAATGTCGGTATAGGTCCATTTTTGGTATGTTCCCTATATTTTCATACCTGCCAGTATATCTATGGTGGAGGGTATCCAAAGTTCGGCCCGGTCGAACTTAACGCTTTTTCACTTGTTTCAACTATTTTTTTCAATAACCATTCTTGGACGGCTATTTATGACGAATGCAATATTACCATCATCGGTAAAATGTGGTAAAATTTCAGAAAAATTGAAGATAACCCCCTAAACTCAACTTAAGCCAAAATATCAAACAAAATAAACAGCTGACTACAATTTTAGAGATGTGTTTTTTGTTTTGTTGATATTATCGATAAATAGCCGACATCGTCGCATGAGCGTTACGGAATACCAAATTAATGTCGAAGTGATGTCGATGTCGATACGAAGTGATGTCGACAAAGAAACGACGTCGACAACGACGACGATATAAGGAATAGGGGTGATTAAAATATTGGTCTTTGTTAACAGTATTCGATCAGAAGGTATTTCATTCTCCGAAATTCAAAATAACGTTTCTGAATAGTTTTAATTTCGAAATATATATTCAATGTTCTGAAACCGAGAATGATTGGGTATAATAAAGCCGCCTTCCACTGGTAGAGGACAAAAAATTTAGTGCTCCAATTGTTAAGTCCACAAAATAAATTAAAAATCAGAGATAAGTCTTTTTTAATTATCCGTTTCCTTTTCAAAATGACTTTTAAATATTCATAAAAATTCTAGAAAATAAAAGGAATTTCTTATAAAGGATATTCAGATATTAGGCTTTTTATAGAATGTCTACTTGTATTCGTCTCATAGAAAACGATAGCTATTCATAGAGAATATCTATATGTTTTCTTGTAGAAGACTAAAGGTATACCTTATGAGAACCAATTAATATTCTTATGGATGACAAGGGTGTCTACTTAGGAAATACCAAGAGTATTTCTTATAGAAGAGCAAAGTGGTTTCTTTTAGGAGACAAAGAAGTCTTCTTGAAGGTCTACTTATAAACCAGTAAGGAAAGTAGTAAAGTCGGACGGGGCCGACTATATGATACCCTTCACCACTATGGGTATATTAAGCAGGACTATAACATAAAATTGGATGAAAAAAATGTGATATTTATCCAAATGTGAATCTACCTAGATCTATCCATAATGTATGTCAATCGACTTCAAACAAATATAAATAGGTCATCCGTTGTGCTATGTCTGCACTTCTAGAAAACGCAACTACGTAATTCTATGCTCAATTTTTTAAGTTGTGCAAAATTTGATGTCAATCTGACTAACAAGAGGAGTTTGATGCCCAATTTACTTGAAATGTGGAAGCGAAAATATATATATCTATCCAAATATTGAGCGATTTCAAACAAACTTGTCACAGGTTACGTTATGCAACTTTCAGAACGTTTTGTTCCAATTGGTTCCTTAGTACGTCAATTACTTAACATCAATCTATAATAAAAGGGAGCTATATCTAAATCTGGACCGATTTTCACGAAACTTGGCAGACATCATTCTAGGCTCAATTAAATACGTTATGCCAAATTTCGTGCAAATCGAGGATATATAGGGACTTTGGTGCACCTTTTACATGAAATCGGACGAAACTATATATGGGAGCTATATCTAAATCTTGACCTATTTTCACGAAACTTGGCAGACATCATTCTAGACTCAATTCAGTACATTATGCCAAATTTCGTGCAAATCAAAAGATATATAGGGACTTTGGGGCACCATTTACATGAAATCGGACGAAACTATATATGGGAGCTATATCTAAATCTGGACCGATTTTCACGAAACTTGCAGACATCATTCTAGACTCAATTCAGTACGTTATGCCGAAATTCGTGCAAATCGGAAGATATTTAGCGACTTTGGTGGACCATTTACATCAAATCGGACGAAACTATATATGGGAGCTATATTTAAATCTGGACCGATTTTCTCCAAACTTGGCAGACATCCCTCTAGGCTTAATTCAGTACGTTATGCCAAATTTCGTGCAAATCAGAAGATATATAGGAACTTTGGGCACTATTTACATGAAATCGGACGAAACTATATATGCGAGCTATATCTAAATCTGGACCGATTTTCACGAAACTTGGCAGACATCATTCTAGACCGAAATGATTAGGCTGTACCAAATTTCGTGCAAATCGAAAGATATATAGGAACTTTGGGGCACCATTTACATGAAATCGGACGAAACTATATATGGGAGCTATATCTAAATCTGGACCGATTTTCTCCAAACTTGGCATACATCACTCTATGCTTAATTCAGCACGTTATACCAAATTTCGTGCAAATCAGAAGATATATAGGGACTTTGGGCACTATTTACATGAAATCGGACGAAACTATGTATGGGAGCTATATCTAAATCTGGACCGAATTTCACGAAACTTGGCAGACATCATTCTAGACCTAAATGATTAGGCTGTACCAAATTTCGTGCAAATCGAAAGATATATAGGGACTTTGGGGCACCATTTACATGAAATCGGAGGAAACTATATATGGGAGTCATATCTAAATCTGGACCGATTTTCTCCAAACTTGGCATACATCACTCTAGGCTTAATTCAGCACGTTATACCAAATTTCGTGCAAATCAAAAGATATATAGGGACTTTGGGGCACCATTTACATGAAATCGGACGAAACTATATATGGGAGCTATATCTAAATCTGGACCGATTTTCACGAAACTTGGGAGACATCATTCTAGACCTAAATGATTAGGCTGTACCAAATTTCGTGCAAATCGAAAGATATATAGGGACCGTTTACATTAAATCGGTTGAATATATATATGGGAGCTATATCTAAATCTGAACCGATTTTTCCCAATTTCAATAGGGTTCGTCCTTGGGCCGAATAAGTGACCTATGCCAAATTTCATCCAATTCGGATCATAAATGCGACCTGTACTTTGTTTACAATTTAACATGGACAGACAGACAGACGGACGGACAGACGGACGGACGGACGGACATGCATAAATCGACTTAGAAAGTGATTCTATGCATATTCTCAAAAGGAACCATGTGTCTATCTTGTTTCCTTTTGCCTGTTACAAACATATGCACAAAGACATAATACCCTGTACCACAGTGTGGTGAAGGGTATAAAAAGGACCAAGCGGTTTTCTTACGGAATATATAAGGACTTTGTTAATGAATATCAGAATTCATCAAATTAGCGTCAATTCGTTTGAAAATGTACCAAAATCCCTTAAAATACCGTATAATGGGAGTATCGTTATTTGGGTTATACCCCGAAACTTTAGGCAATATCGATCAATTAATGTTTTCTGCCCAATGAGAATGCCAAAATATCAATTTACAGCCTATTAGATTAAAAACGTGCTTGAACTCCTCAAATAACCGAAATCCAGGAGGTAACGTTATATCCCGAAACTTTGACCAATTTTGGGTAAAGAAATTTGCTATGCAGTGACTAATAAATTACAGTCGATCCGAAAAAGAACCCAAAACACCGAATACTGAAAAAGTACCATTTTATGGGGGATATACAAAATACGTGGGCCAATGTTTATAATTTTCAATATCAATACGTTCTAAAATAGCAGCAATGTATGCGCATGTCTTGGAAAATTCTGGTCTCCGGTGGATATATTCATCGGAGACTAGAGGATATTAATTATGTCCTAAAAGTCTTAAATTAGATGATAGAAAGCTATTATTGGAACATTTAAGAAGCCAAGAGGTCTGATTGAAAAAATTAAATCGAAAAATAATATAATCTTCTTTTGCCGTTTCTTCTGTATACGAAAGCGAAATATATTTAAAAATCTTCACTTATTTTCTCATGCAAAACCGACGAACATTTTTTCAAACATACTCCTCCTATGGAAAAAAACAATAAAGAACAATTTTTCATCATATGACATTCTTACCTCCTGAAATGATTTACTATAATTGTAAAATGGATCACTGGGACACTTTTCCACTTCGCTTTTGCTGCGACCAAAACGGCTGCTAAAACGAAAGGATTTCGGTGATAGACGTAATTTGGGAAATGAATCTCCACGTTCAGATTTGCGGCTTTTGCCGCCACACGAGGCGGTGGATGAGGGTGCCACTGTTGCTGAGGATGCTGATGTTGACGAGTCATGATGGCCATGTGCTGTCACTGCTTCCGCTGAATTTGAATGATGAGATGTCGCTGACGCTGCTGCCGATGTGCTGGTATTTGATGAAGACGAGGCAACGGCTGTGGTCTGGGTGCAGGCCAATGTAACGGGTGGCGAGGAAACGGGATTGTTAAAGAGAGCTGCAAAATTTTCCGGACCATGAATGCCATGATTGAAAACATCAGTGCGGTAGATGACACGAACACCCATTTTAACGGAAGCACGACGATGGAATTTTTCATCAGTTTTATCGGCTGTTAAAAGAAATGAAACAAAAGAAACAAGCAATAAATAAAATGATTGAAATATTCCACAAAAAAGGATCAAAGGATATTGAGAAGGAGAAACATGTTATTTAAAATTCAAAGGACAATTTTTTGTAAGTAGGTTTTTTCATTCTTCATTCCGCATAGGTCCCAATACAAACGTATTTGGTTTATTTTTCTTTTTTCTTGTTTTCCCATTGAAAACCTTTTAAAATATTCATGAAAATTTCATTTTATAGGCAATACCAAAACACCTTAACCAGCCAACGTGCCATACAATGTGTTTTTTTAATCTATCCCCCTTCTTTTGTTTCCTTTCCCTTTTGCAACACTCTGAGAATGTGTGTGTGTTTGCCTGTATGTGTGTGCTTATCATAGATGAACTTTTTTCTTTTCACTTTTTCCTCCTTTCCATTCTCGCTTTTTCTCCACATCTTCCTTCTTAAAATAGACAGTTTGACATTAATAGACAGTCATGTTTCTATGCCTGTCCATTTAACCCAGAGGTCACATTAAAGTTAAAGTGCATTTGGCTTTCGAAAACAGGTTCACATCGCAAAGAAAATAACTGCAAAAACTACAACAACAGAAATAGAAAAGTAGTAACAAAAAAGTTGGTAATTTTTACCGGAAAGACCACAAAGTTTTCTATTTGTGTGTGAGTGCCAGCTAAGCGTAAAAGTTTTAAGTAGTAAATGTAATTTTTACGTGATTTTTTTAAATGTGAAGCAAAAGTTCTTTTTTTATTACTACATGGAATTGCAGGTTGAACGATGGAAAGTTGTTTTCCAATGGAACAACTAAATGCTTAATAGGACAATAAATCTGAGAAGATCACAAGGTTTTTTTTATTAAAGACCAAAAGGATATTTTTGCAGAAGAACCAAAATAGAGTTCTTATAAAAGATCCGATGATCTTCTTTCGGGACCAGGAAGTGCTCTCCTAAAATTGTAGGGTCTTCTTATAGAAGACCAAAACTTCTTTTAGAAAACTTCGTGGTTTTCTAAAAGAAGTTTTAGAAATGAAAAAAATATGAAATAGGCGTGTATATTTTAGAGCTTGGCAAAAATATTCTTTAAAAATCCACGCTTATTTCAGAGCTTGGCAAAAATATTCTATAATAAATCATCGTCTACTTTAGAGCTTGGAAAAAATAGTCTTTAAAAATCCACGCCTTTATGGCCAAAAAAATATTATTTAATACACCAACGAATTGACGACCTCAGGAGAAAATTATTGGAAAAAAATCTTTCTAAACCAGTAAGGAACGTAGAAAAAGTCGGACTGGGCCGACTATATGATACCCTTCACCACTTTGGGTATAATCCTCATATGTATCCTTACAATTGCATGTCAATGTTCCCTCGAAGGAACATACACATGTCTTTCTGCAACCTATGATAAATTTAATTTCATTCGGTCAGATTTAGAGTCGTTTGCGTACCATGGTACAAATTTATGGAAAACGATTTATAGCAAAATTGATTCACGCTATTCGGTATTAAAAATTTAATTTCAATCAGACACCCGTTCGAAATACATATGGAAGCTAACATTAGGAGTTTGGTGCACCACTTATGTAAAATCGGACGAATATATATGTATATGTGTAGGCTATATCGAAATCTGAACCGATTTTTCCGAAACCTACCACACATTATTATATACTCAATTCAATACGCTATGCCAAATTTCGTGCAATTTAAAGGATATATAGAGACTTTGGTACACCATCTACATTAAATCGGACGAAAATATATATGGGAGCTATATCGAAATCTGAACCGATTTTCCCGAAACTTACCGCTCATCATTTTAGACTCAATTCATTACGCTATGCCAGATTTCGTCAAATAGAAGAATATATAGGGACTTTATGGCACCATTTACATAAAATCGGAGGAAACTATATATGCAAGCTTTATCGATATCTGAACCGATTTTTCCGAAACTTACAACTCATCATTCTAGACTTAATTCAGTACGCTATGCCAAATTTCTTGCAAATTGAATGATATATAGGGACTTTAGCGCTCTATTTACTTAAAATCGGACGAAAATATATATAGAAGCTATATCTAAATATGAACCGATTTTCAGGAAACTTTGCACACATCATTGTAGACTCCATTCATTACGATGTGCCAAATTTCGTGCAAATCGAAAGATATATAGGGACTTTGGTGCACCATTTACATGAAATCGGACGAGAATATATATGGGAGCTATATCTAAATCTGAACCGAATTTCAGGAAACTTCACACATATCATTCTGGACCTAATTCGTTACGTTATGCCAAATTTCGTGTAAATCGAAAGGTATATAGTTACTTTGGTACACCATTTACGCTAAATCGGACGAAAATATATGGGAGCTATATCTAAATCTGAACCGATTTTCAGGAAACTTAACAGATATCATTCTAGACCTAATTCATTACGTTGTGCCAAATTTCGTGTAAATCGAAAGGTATATAGTTACTTTGGTACACCATTTACACCATCATGGACAGACGGACGAACAGACAGACGGACAGGTATAAATCGACTTAGAAAGTGATTCTATGCATATTCTCAAAAGGAACCATGTGTCTATCTCGTTTCCTTTTGCCTGTTACATACATATGCACAAAGACATAATACCCTGTACCACAGTGTGGTGAAGGGTATAAAAAAACATACGTAACATACGTCAATCCTACACTCCAACAGTAATTTTAATTCCAAAATTCTGGGGTCCAGCTCTATCCGTTCACACATAATGAAGTTGTGCCAAATATAGTACCATTTAGTAAATATGTGTACTGTGCTTCCATATCTCAATTCTATTTCCAACAGCAACTACTATTCCTAATTTTAGGTATCCAGCTCTCTCCACCCAAATTGTACCAAATCTAGTGCCGTTTAGTATTTTTCGTACACATAAATACGAGTTTTCAAAATTGTATTTACAGTTCGATCTTCAACAGTAATCATAATTTCAAATTTCAAGTTTTCAGCTCTATCCTTTCAAGTAAAATCCAAATTTTACTAAATTTAGTACCATATAGTAATTTTTTGTAGCAATAACTACGCATTTTCCAAACTACAATCCAACAGTCATTTTAATTCCCAATTTGACGACTCCAGCTTTATCTGTTCACCTAAATCCATCTTGCACCAAATTTAGTACCATTTAATACTTTTCGTACAACTAAGTACGATTTTTTAAAGCTACATCAATCCTGTACTACAATAGTATTCCTAATTCCGATGTTCAGAATTCCATCTCTATACACTCAACTAAATGCAAATTATACCAAATTTAGTACCATTTTGTACATTTTATATAAATATGTACTAATTTCATAAAATATTTCCATACATCAGTTCCACTTCCAAAACTTTATTCCATATAAAATTTTAAGACTCTAGTTATATATGTTCAATATATAAATTTGAGTACCATGTAGTACCAAATTTCATAATTCGAGCTCTAAAGGTTCACCCAAATCCAAATTTTTCATTTAGCACGCATTATTTCCATAAGTACCCTCTTCAACCATCCATCAAAACTTCATACATATCCCGATCCTACAACCCCACAATGATTCCAAAATAAAATTTTCTGGATTCAAACTTTATTGGTTCACCCACAATTTAAATTTTACCAAATTTAGTGCACAGTAGTACGAATTTCCAAAACTTCCTAAATACCCAATCCTACACCCCGACAGTGATTCTAGATCCAAGTTTCAGGATTCCAACTCCATATATTCAACCACAATTCAAATTGTACCAAATTTAGTGCATAGTTGTACCAATTTCCGAAAGGTCATACATACTCCAATCCTACACCTCACAGTCATTCTAACTCCAAGTTTCAGGATTCCAACTTTATCGGTTGACCCACAATTCAAATTGTACCAAATTTAGTACACAGTAGTACGATTTTCCAAAACTTTCTACTTAACCCAAACCAACATCCCCACAATGATACTAAATCTAATTTTCAGGATTCCAATTCTATCGGTTCACGAACAATTCAAATTGTAGGGGAGAGGGGGGCACCTTTGAACACTTTTTGCTTTCAAGCCTTATAAAATTTTTTATTTTATAATTTTTAGTTTCTTATAAATTGTATCTAATATGTACATATGTAACCTTTAAAATGAATATACATATGACATACTATAAGCTTGATAAATATATTTTATTACTGTTTTAATGGACGAACTCAAAGTGTTCAAAACTGCCCCCCCAGGGGGCACCTTTGAACAAGGCTTGACATTTTTGAACGACATGGTTTTTTACAGTGTTTATGTTCAAATATGTATGTATTTTATTAATACATATCAGAAATGCATTAATTCATTAAAAAATATATAAAAAATTTTCAAAATATAAAAAATTTAGATCAAAAGTTATTAAAACATAAAATGACTTAAAAACAAAAATTAATATGGTGAAAAATACAGTTAATTTCGTAATCTTATTAACCGATTTGAAATTTTGAGAAATCGAAGCCAAAAGTTTCTTTTTTTGCTCGAGTTTAATGGGCATGTTCAAAGGTGCCCCACCCATGGCATTTTACGGAAATTTAAAATAACTTTTTTTGTAATAAATATATATGAATGAAATTACATTAGTTATGTTTGAAATGATTGTTGGAATGCAAAAAATTTGTTTGACGAAAGAAAACTATCACATAATTCTTCCTGCGCCCTTACAACCAAATGAATAAAAGTTTACAATCACACTGAGAAAACATGGCCACCCATGCACAAATTTTCGACAGCTGAAAAAGCAAGCCAAAGTGGTTTACGCATATAGAAAACAAGATTGCCATATACAAAAATGTGGTTGCTGGTCGGAAAAATATTAAACCAAGATTTTATGAGCGATGTTCAAAGGTGCCCCACGTTCAAAGGTGCCCCCCTCTCCCCTACTAAATTTAGTACATAGTAGTACCAGTTTCCAAATCTTCCAACATACCCCAATCCTACACCTCCACAGTGTTCATAAATCAAAATTTCAAGATTCCAACTCTATCGGTTCACCCAAAAAATCAAATCGTACTAAATTTAGTACATAGTAGTACCAATTTCCAAACCCTCCTACATACCCCAATCCTACACCTCCACAGTGATCCTAAATCAAAATTTCAGGATTCTTACTCTATCGCTTCACCCACAATTTAAATTATACCAAATTTAGTACACCCCCACAGTGATCCCAAATTTAAGTTTCAGGATTCCAACTCTATCGGTTCACTCACAATTCAAATTTTACCATATTTAGTACACATTAGTACAAATTTCTAAAACTTCCTAGATATATCAATCTTACCCCTCAGTGATCCTGGCTCCAAATTTCATGACTCTAGCTCTATTGGTTCACCTAAAAATCAAATTGTACCAAATTTAGTACCATTTAGTACCCATAAGTATTATTTTCGTAAACTGAATCCTGACCCCAATCCCACACCCCTACAGTGATCCTGACTCCAAATTTCATTGTTCCCGCTCTATAGGATCACCCAAATCCAAACTGTACCGATTTTGTACTTTTCGTACACATAAGTAACAAATTTCCAAAAAATCAAATTTGTACCAAATATAGTACCATATAGTACTTTTAGTACACATGAGTACACGCTTACCAAACTCTCCTCATATCGACCCTAATTCTCAACCTTAATTTGCATTCCAAATTTCAAGTTTTTAGCTCTATCCATTCACATGCTACAAAATTGTACCAAATTTAGTACATTTTAGTACTTTTCTAATACTTATAGTTCCAATTTCCAAAAAGTCCTTTGCTACATATATTTAGTGACCCTCAATCCAAATTTCAGATTTCTAGCTCTACTGGTTCGCCAAATACCATATTTATCTAGTATGAATTTCAAAAAACCCCGCCTAATCTGTCACCTTTGGACCAAGAGTGACACTCACCCAAAATTTCAAGACTCTAGCTTCAGCCGTTTCGTCAGGGCGTTGATGAATCTTTAAATCAGTCAGTCAATCACTTTACTCTTTTATTAGTATAGATAAATCCATGCCTAGGTGGTTCATGGAAAAATATTCTTTAATAAATCTCCACCTAGGTGGTTCCTGCAAAAATGTTTTTTTTTTAATATCCACGCCTAGGTGGTTCCTGGAAAAATATTCTTTAATAAATCCATGCCTCAGTTGGTCTGTCCATTCTTTGTTTTTCTTCCTCATCTCTATTCGACTGGCCTATCATAAAATAAATTGTAAAATCAATTCCACTTTATCCTTTTGTCATATATCTTCAAGTTTTTATTGTTGTTGTCGTCATCGTTGTCCTTTCGCAATGTGCCACAGTTCATTAGGTGGGCATGGGGGGAAATGTGTGTCCTGTTTCCGGATTTTTTTTATGCCACAAGTTGCTTACTTGTGTTTAATATCCTTCCAACACAGCTGTTGTTCTTAGTTCCGCTATAATGTTTTTGTTCGCTTGCTTCGTTTATTTGCCTAGAGCTCATAAATGTTTGTTATTTGCTGTTGTTGTTGTTGGAAAATGTTTATATAAATATAATACGAGAGGAAAAAGTGCGAAAGGAAAATATATTTCTCCTCCTTTATTTGTTTTTTTTTTTATTTGTGTGTGTGGGGGGGGGGGTAATGTGAGCTGTGGTTATTTTATTTTTATGGCGAAACGGCGGTTTCGATTCATTTTAAAGTGTGGGTTCACCATTCATACACACACACATTGGCAATAACATTTTATTTAAGTGGTTCTTGTTTTATTTGTTGTATTTTTGAGGAGTTTTTTTCTAGCACCTGAGCCTGAGTGAAATACAGGAAAGAATAAAATGGATTTTTATGGCGGCTGATGATGATTTCTATAATAATAGAGGACATTTTTATGCGTTGCTATTTAAGAGGTAGTAAATAATATCTAATGGGAATTGAAATACACAGGAATAATTTCAGTGTTCTTAAATCGGGACCTTATCCATAAAATAACATAATATCAAATGTTTCCATGAAAAGTTCATTCTTCAATTTTAATAAAAATTCCAGCCGTCCATCTACCCTTTTCAACATTCCCTTACAAGGAAAATCAGTGATTCCGACACAACCATTCCCCCTTTTTCGAATTCTTTGAAATATTCATTACTTCATAAATCCATAATTTGAAAAACGAAAAATATTTTTAATATTCCAAAAAGAGCCTTTACTTCTTACGAAACAAAAAATCGACCTTAAATCTTCTTAACCAGAATTTAAAAAAAAAACTCTCAACTTACCAATAAAACAGCGAACATCATAACTGGTACCAATTGGTGCTCCATAGTAACGTTTCGCCGGCACTAATTGTACGCTGGGTGGTGCCTGGGCGGTCAGGGTCAATGTAAAGGGATGGGCACCCTCACCCAAACGTTTCAGCAAGGCTTCCTGGAAAACAAATTGAGAAAACAATTTTTTTTTTATTTAATAATTATAAATCATTGAACGAAAAACAACCCGTACAAAATTTACTTGTGTCATCCGACGGATTAAATTACACACGCTCGTGTGTATATTTTGTGTGGTGGTAATGGTTCTGATGCCCATCGAAAATAATTATTTTAATGGAACGAATGAAGCCATCAACCAGAAATGGTTTCTGTTTAAAATATGATTAAATATTTTTTAATGAGTTTTAAAGGTTTCTGGTTAATATCCGTCACTTTTTCTGAAGGGTTTCTTTGAAAAGGCAATGTTGCAATTATGTGGAATACCACACATTGGTCCAATGAAAACAAACATACATTGAAAGTAATCTTCAGTTACACACTGATATTGGAAACAAATTAAGACAACAATTTCGATACTGCAACGTTAAATTCGAACGAGTTTTCCATGCGCCTAGGTTTTTGTTTTAAATTGTCATTCGGATTGTGAAAAAGTTACAATTCCACCGGCATCAATTCTAGGCTCGCTCAAATTGATTCCAAAGAACGTTATTCGGACAACTAACTGTCATATTTGTGTTCTATGCTTTTGTATTCGGAACTATATAGTCCAGAATGTTAGTTTTGGATCCTAGTCCTATCCTGCATTAAGACACACACCGAACCATCGTTTAGATCCGTCTGTCACTTCTGGAGTTGTTCTGGTCTATACCGGGTGCCGGAGTCCTCATCTCAATCATTGTCGTTTCCAATGATGTTTAAAATTCCCTCATC